AGTGAGAAGAAAGGACTAACTATCAATTGTAAGAAGATAGAATGCATGGTTGTCAGCAAAAGGAACAGCCCAACATGCATATTAAAAATTAAAAATACCAAAATAAAACAAATATAAAAATTTAAATATCTGGGAAGGGTTTTAACAGAGGGCGGAAAATGTGACACTGAAATCCGAAGGTGCATTGGCATAACCAAAGATGCCTTCCAAAAGCAAAGTATAAACAAACAGGAAAATTTTGTTAGGAACAAAGAAAAGAGTACTGAACCGTTACATAATATCAGTTCTTCTATATGACAGCGAATGCTGGACAATCTCCTCACAGGTGAAGAAGAGACTTGAAGTAACAGAAATGTGGTTCTACAGAAGGATGTTGAGAATACCATGGACTGAACATGCTTTACAGAAAATGGAAACAAAAAGAATATTTACAGTTAGCATGAGAAAGTGGCAGTTGAAATTTATAGGGTATATGAAAAAAGAAGGCTTGGAAACTTTCATACTCACAGGACATATTAAAGGTGAGAGAGAAAGATGGGGGGAAAACAATGCATAACTTACCTCATGAGCTTAACTAAATGGATGGCAGAACAAAGTTTTGGAGAGATAACAAAAATACAAAATTTATTAAGAGCTACAATTATTAAGACAGGAAATTGTGGCGAGCCATGATTGCTAACATCCTGAAAGGACATAGCCCATAGAATAAGGCCATCGTTATCTTCACAAATCCAAGGCAATTTAAGATACACTGTATATTTTTCAGGTTCTACAGGTCTTTAATTTACAAAAGTGTACAATCTTAGCAATAATGAATGATTGCACCACATCTAGAGAATATCCATTATCAGAAAATATTTTTCTAATAAATTCTAATTCCTATTCTTGGGCGGGAGTGGCCCAGACCTCACTCTGCAGCCTTGAGAGAGCTCAAAAGCATCAGAATCATGTGGGTGACAAATTTTTCTCCATCCTCTGTCCCACAGGGGAGATATTGCAAGATTCTCACTGCTCTATCACTACTTCCACAGAAAATGCTCAGACAAACTATATTCCCTGGTCCCACGAACCACTGCTCTGAGCAACTGACTCCCAAGAGGATGTTTCCCCGATCACTACAATCTTAACCTGTTCAAGGCAAGAGTCAATAGTTATATTCCACTCCTAATGTTATCCTCTACATCAAGTGGCCCCGGCCCCAGGTCTTGTAAAGGGTGAACTTTACTATAAAAAAAAAAAAAAAAAAAATAAAAAAATAAAAATAATAAAAAAAAAATTTTGTATAACAATAGCTCCTGGGCCTCGTATTGGGCAAAGCTACAGTAAAAGATACAAAGACTAATTTGGGGAAGAAAATTTACAAAGACTTTAATGTTTGTTCTGACAGAGCTCCATTGTCAACTGGTCTGAAATATAACTTTATTTCGAAAAAAAAATTTTCAGATTATCCTCTATTAAAATATCACTTCCTTGTAAACAAAGTCATTGCATGCAGAAACTTGCAGCATACTATGTTCATTGCCATCTGATACCCACAGGATGAACAGAGCAAAAGAGAGACAAGGGAAAGCAATACGTGACATACTTTGTGGGCTTAAGCAAGTGGACAAAACTTATTGTTGGGAACTACAAGGGATAGGAGGGAGTGGAGAGCCATGATCGCCTACGTCCTGAAGGGACATGGCACATAAAAGAAGATAATGACTTGGTGGAGCCCATTTATCTCCAGGTCAAACCACAGTCTATATACTTCAACTTGAAATCTCACCTTATTCATAGACACTCTTTCAGAGGCACCCTCCATCTTGGCCATTCATTTCAGTCCAAGAAGCCATCTACTCAGCAATATTGTGTCATCAACACTCTAGCTGCATGCATAGCTATTGAGCCTAGTTTACCCTATTGTGTCAGATGACAGTTGACCCCTACAAAAAGGTTCCTTCCTTCTTTGACAGGTCTTGTTTTTAATCCAGCTGGTTATCTAGCCATCCTCTTCACCAGAAAAGCCTAGTGGGGGAAAACTGGTTTAGTTGCCAAGGATCTGACCATGTAGCAGGTAATATAAGGTTACTCGGTACAATAGCACTCATAGGGTGACTGAACATAAAAAAATTAACATGTTATGTTAATTATTGTCAAATATTTGCATAAGATTAGAGCAAGCAAATTATAGAGCTAAGAATTCAGAGAATATTGTTAAGTATTACATTTCAAATAAGGCAATCTTGTCCTCTACTGTAATGTGCACTTGTTTTTCTAAAGGAAGGGTTGTATGTATAATTTACAAACTGGAAAATACTGTTAATTTTATAGGAAAAGAAAGAAAGTTTCCTTTGTGATAACAATTGGCTATTTGATATAACTATCTCAGTAACTTTAATTTCAAGAATGTATGGCAATAACAAAGTTTCCTTATTTAATATCACTGTATTAAAAAGATCAAATTAAGTGTTTATCTGTCAGCTAGAAAATAAGAATTTGAATCTATTCCCACTGAAAGAAAAAGTATGCCAAGAATGACAAATTTACTAATTAAAAAAAAAAAAAAAAAAAAAAAAGTTATTGTAATTGTCATTTAAAAAGTAGCTTTTATGATTTTGCTAAATAAGAAATCTAACTTTTATAAACCTGTTGGGGCTAATAATTTTTTTTCATTTAAATAGTAGAATTTAAATATAAAAAATACAAGTAATATTTACAAAATTTAAGTTATCTTTAACATGTAGAAATGTCATGGTTAACCTTTAGCAGTCTGCATAATTAATATTACATTCATTTCCATTGCCTTCTTTTTCAAGGCCTCTCAGTTGCAGTATTCTTATTGTTAATTTCACTTAAAGTTGTTTTCTGTTGCTATAGAAGGATATAACAATACAACTGAATTCAAACAGTATTGTTCAGAGATTAGTTACCTTCAGTAGCAGGATAAACTACAGCAAATGTGGTCACATACAGAGTGATAAAAGTTAACATTTTTTTTGCTAACATGATGATAACACCTGCTCTAACATTGACATGTGTTCATAATTTATTATATAGGCTATATGAAATGAAGAAACAGATTGATCTTTTCAAAAGAAGATTAGTGCGAAAAAACATTACTATGAAGAACTTTTCCATATTTTTTTTAATATTTTACATAATTTAATAAACAATTTTTTTCATTTAAAAAGTAAAATTTAAATATAAAAATACAAGTAACATTTACAGAAATTAAAAGTTATTTTTAACATGTGGAAATGTTAGCAAAAAATGTTTTAAAACATGACAAGAAGGTAACTCTTTCTATAACAATGTCATGTTCTTTTAACAGAATCAGGTATCAAAGAGAGAGAAAGAAAAAGCATTCAATTCGTACTTAAGTCTAGCCATCAAGCAACATGATCAAAACATGTGAAGAAGGATTTAAAAAGGGAAATTAGTTTTTTTTAATAAAATCTTTGATTGGATGATGTTTTGTAATATAGTACAGAGGTTATATATTGGAAGTTGGAAAAAAAGATTATTGACCGATCTGTTTTCTACAGCTTATCAACACTTTGCAGGTTATAAAAAGCCAGAAAACATTTTTTAGCTTGTAAGCATTTGGGTGGGGGAGAGATAAATAATACTTTAATGATACAAGTCTTGCTAATTAATCCATAGCTGTGGAGAGAAGAGGTGGATTCATACTTTTCCGAAGGGCATTTATGCATAAGTGAACATAATGAACCCAATTGGAATTGAAACTGCTCTCCAATTAACAATTCCATATTAGTTTTTTTTAAATGTCGTAAATATAAAATTATTCTTGTAAATAAGCCATCTAATAAATAGTGTTTAATATTTTTGCTGTAAAAAAAAAAAAAAAAAAAAACAAACAAAAAAAAAAAAACAGTATAAGTTGACTTTCATCATATATTGAGGTTTTATTACAATTCTAATCACCACTTTTTAAAACAATAAACATTGCCAAAGAGTGAAGGTAGTTAAAATAAAAGTGGTGTCATGTGGGAAAAACCATCCTTTTGACACTCCAACTTATTGTGGGCGCAAAACCCATATTTGCCAAAGAGGTGTGTCCGTGTGTGTGTGTGTGTGTGTAATATATATAAGTTTTAAATAAGGTATCAAAAAAATTCTTTTTATACATTTGTTGATATTTTTGATAAATATCGAACAAAGTGGAAAACTTTTTTTGTTGACTACATGTTTCGCCTTAATGGCATTTGCAACAATGTTTAATACATTCGGATGAACCACAATTTGTTGAAACGTGGATCCAGTGTTTTTCAGGCCAAGCTAGGGTTAAAAGATTGAAAGACAGCAAGGCAAAAGAGGGAGAAAAATGAAATAACTGACCTCCTCTTAGATTCAGCAGATTGTGAAGCTATAATGAAAATTTCTGTTATGGCATACCCCAAACAAGTAGAAGTTGACTACTAATAAAGTGTTGTTTTAAAACAGTACTAGACAACATAGGATTCATCAGGCCATAATGAAATAAATGTATGCAGAATTTAATATTAAATCGTTAATATCTGTTAGGCTGGCATCTTCTGGTGGGAAAGAAAGAAGAAAATTTCATGATTTTTGTACTAAGGCTGTCAATGCCTGTTTGTTAGGTAAATGTCTTTTAGTCAGAATGAAAGAATAAAACTGATTTTTAATGACATTAATGACTAGTAGAAAAATCAAAGTTTTGTGCCGATTGAAAGACACCAGCCTAACAAACATACTAACAATTTAATATTAAAACATACACACACAGATTTAAACATAGTTAAATGAAGTATCACTTTATCAATGAAAATAGGACCGATTCATTCCTTTTCCATTAAAAAGAAAAACAAAATTACATTTTAAGAAATAAATACACCATATTCAAGGTTACAAGTACATTTTAGAGAAACCCAAATCCATTATGTTTTGCAAAATAGAGAAAAAAAAAAAAATCTAATAAAAATATAAGCAACAATCATCAATAATAATATATTGACCCAAAGTAAATTAATACTTACCCCATGTGCTCAAAGTCTGAGAATATAAAAGTCTTTTCGGGGTCAAAGCCCATCGCAATGATATCTTTCATGTTTTCATCAGCCAATCGTCTTGCTTCATCCGAAGTCAAATCCTTCCACAGAAACTTTTCATCGTCAGTCATTTGGATGACCAGTGGTACATCAAATGCATCCTGGAGCCATCTGCACAAGAAAGAATACTTTGTAGATATGGCTGTTTTCATTTCAGTAATACTTGACTTAATTCCCACCTACTGGCAATTAAATTTTTTAATTTTTCAATGTATTTTCATAGTATTTGCAATGGAGTTACATTATGCATATAACCATTTTCTTAGCAGAACTTTCAAAATCTGAAGTGGAATCATCATTAGCGAAACTGAACAGAAACAAAGCAGCAGGACCAAACAGAAACCTTTTTCTTAAATCACATCACCCTCAAACAAGGCAGTAGAGCCACTAAGACACAAGGGGTTACTGGGTGTGAAAGAATTACAAAACTGAAAATATTATGAAGGAGCAAGAACAATAAGAGAGTAGATAATGACCAACATTGCATTTAAAATTTTGAAGATTAAAATTGGCCAGAAAGCATGGAGCCCGAAGAGAATTCCACAAGTCCAAAAAGAAACTTAGCATAGAACTTGTAGTTACATCTAGTGAATTCAACTGTAAATTGATGAGACCTTGTTGTTAATCTAGTATTGTGCTTAAATTCATAAAAGTCTAGGTACCCATGAAAGTATTTATAGAAAAGGCACTGAGAAGCAACTTTACAGTGATGGGAACGTGAATGAAACAGATGCCAGGTCAGGACCAATAATATTGCTGATTCTCATTTGGATTTTATCAAGAATCTCTAAATAAATAGCAGGAGAACTGGACCATATGTGGCAGTAATATTCTAAGCATAGGTGAATGGTAGACTTATAGATATGCAAGATAGATTCTGGCAAGAAAAATTGTCTAGCATGACACAGTGAACCAACTTCACTTAGCAGCTGAGCTAGCAATGGATTCAATGTAGTCTTTCTACTTCATGTTAACCTGAGATGGCACAATTAGACACTTTCCAGGAGGTTACCTTCAGCCATACTGATGGAAAGAAGAAAAGGGTCTCTGGCAGCCTTAGTTTATTTTGGCATTGACAAGATTATAGACATAAATAACAGTGGTGATATACTGGAAGACCTAAGTAGATCCATTTTCATAGCACCGCCTAAAAATCCAGGTGCAAACAAATGTGAACACCATCAGACAATCAGCCTAATGAGCCATATAACAAAACTTATCATCCGAATTCCGATTAATAGACTGTGCAGCAGAACCAGAAATAGGACTAGAACAGTGTGGGTTTGTTAAAGACACTGGAACAATGAATGCAATATTTAGCCTCATAATAGTATCAGAATGTGCAATACAAATGCAAAAGAATGTGTACCTGTGTTTTATAGATTATGCAAAAACATTTGATAAAGTATGTGACAAAGAACTGTTAGAACTTCTGGGTAACCTTGACATATTTGGGAAGGGGATTAGAATAATCCAGAATCTATGCTTGCAGCAAACTGTCTATGGATTTTCTATAGATAGAAAATGAATTCAGTAAAGAGAGCTTGAGTTAATGGATGGCAGAACAAGGTTTAGGAGTGATAACAAGATGACAAACTTTATTAAGAGCTACAAAGCAAAGAAGTGGAGAGTCATGACCCTGAAGAGACACGGTATGTAGAAGAGAAAAAAAAAAGCCATTTTCTGTCAGTAATGCTTGTCTTAAATTCTGATCACTGACAAAAACTTGTTTTATTGATTTGCTATATACAACATACATACTCATAATGCATTTACATTATATCCATAATAGAACTTGTCTCATAGCAAGACTTGCATTAATTTACAACCAGTAACAATCTATTTTTCCTGATTTTCAATGCATTTTAATAATAGTATTATAAAAAAAAAAAAAAAAAAAAAAAGAGACATTTATATTATACATACAATATCCCTATTCTCTCAATAAGATTTTCATTAATTCCCAATCAGTGAAAATCACATTTTCATTTTTAAAGTATTATAAACAAGTGATGAAAAGTTCTCAATCCAACCCATTCCCAAAAATCAATATTTCAATGATCAAACATTAGAACATTGATTTTGGGATGTGTGTCGAATCGAGACCTCCTCTACATACTTTTGTACAGATAAAAGGAGAAAATTTTCCAAATCAAAATTTTAGATAGGGAGAAAAACCAAAAGGGAGGTGGAGAGAAAGAAAAGGAAACCAAGAAAATAACTGGTAGAAATATTTAGTTTGGCAATACAGCAAATTACTGTGAATTTTAACAAAATACAAGGTGCAACAGAAATCCCTCCCACATATGAGTGGGTGTGTGTGTGTGTGTGTGTGTGTGTGTGTGTGTGTGTGTGTGTGTATATATATATATATATACACACACACACACAAGTGCGATGGATAAATCGCCACTTTATTTTTTAAAAATTTTCCACGTGCATTTTGTTTGTTCTTTATTTTGTTGACTGCACAGTAAAGTAGGATCAGTTGGGCACCATCTGTCAGAAAAAGAGCGCCATGACAATTCACACTGTCAGAAATTTTGAAACAGCCTGCTGTCCTGCTTGGCATTCATGCCAGAAACTCCAATATGAACATTTCAGAGTGTTTGTGCGTCAAATCTGAGGACACAGCAGAGGATTCCGAATGTGTTTGGATTGATCACTAGTGACGGTGACATAGAACATCAGAATCAACACTGAGGTCTATCAAGTATCTTGAGGAGGCAGTGCTGCCCAGGATCAAGTGGGTGGCTGTTGGAGAATCTAAGTCTGGCAACAGGACTCTCCACTATGCCACACAAGCAGGAGAACCCAGTCATGTCTGTCTGACAATTTCTGCAAGTACATCACCTTTATATCTGGCCATGTACCTCCCCAGACTGCAACCCTCTTGATTATTAAGTGTGGGGTGCAGCTGAGCGAGAAACCAACAAAACAAAGACGAACTTAAAGTGAGGTTTATGGCAGCATTCACCAACCTAAACAAGGAGACCATCTAGAAGAGTTGCAGGTGATTTCAAGGTTCTCTGGTTGCTGTGATTGAAGTCAATGGAAATTTTATTGTATAAATTTACTCTTTAGTATTTCATATTTTTGTGCAATTTTGATAAATAATATATATATATATATATATATATATATATATATATATATATATATATATATATATAAAAAAATGAGGTGTCGGTGTTATTTTCATTTTTAAATTCAGATGACAACTGACAGAATCAAAATTTGATCTTATTGAACAGAGTTAAAGCTGAAGCCTCCCAATGCCATCTAACAACAAATACAGAACATATTCTTCAGCCAAACCAATGCTATTGAATGAGGAAATCAAAATCATCTAGTTTCTCTTATATACTTATAGTTTCTCTTATCTATATCTAGAATTCTTAAAATGTGTGTGTGATTGGATGTTGTTTATGTGTTTCCACAGTTTATCTGATTTCAATGAATTTTTTTTGTTTGATAGATAATTCTTCAGTGCTGGAGTCCAAATTGGCTGGGAAGAATTACAACCTTGAAGGTGAAAAATTGAAAAAGCTGATATTTTACACTTTGCGCAAAAATCAAAAGGCAAAATTTAATGTCAGTAAAAACAGCATACAATCAATTTAGAGAGTTGAAATCTAATGCAAAAGATTCTTAGAATTATATAAAAAAAAAAAAAAATTATATTATAAATAAAAATTATCATACATTATTATTATGACAGCCCACGGAAGAAGTTCCTTCCTTACAAGATTGAGAACGCAAAAACGGACCTTTTCAGGGCCACCACCCATTCAGATTGTTAATCTTCCATTTGGGAATGTGCACCCAATTGTTGTTACTAATATTGATTTTCGAGTGGGCTGACAATTGAATGGCAAAAATTCCCAGTAATGAAACTCCTGGGCAAGGATGGGTTATACTGCTAGTATACTTATAGTTGCTCTTATATACTTACTTGGTCATAATAAATGGGATGAGATGGCCAAGATGCATTGCTTCAGAAGAAGGCCCTCGACCTGTGTATAGATAGAATGGTTTGCCACTCTCGTACATGTCAAGAACCATTTTCAGTTCCCTAAGGAAAAAAAAAAAAAAACAAATATATTAAAAACGTTTGTTTTATCACAAATTATATGAACTTATGGAAAAGGATAGGAAAAAGACTATGCACCTCCACAGATTCACAATACCAAAGTTTTAAAATTAATTAAAAAAAAAAAAAAAAAAAAAAAAAAAAAACAAACAAACAAAACACTTTCTTGAAACTTATTTTAGTTTTAATTTCAAAGTAATAGATTAAATTTAATATTCCCAGTAAGCAAAATACTTTGATGTATTTCAAAAGTAATTTAGATTGATTGGAAGGAGATTTTGTTTTGAAATTGCTGAAATTTTTTATTTTAGCATCATTTTTAGACACCTCATCAGAATGTAATTCTCTTTATTAAAAAAAAAAGAAAAAAAAAAAAAATTTTTTTTAAACTTTAAGGAATATTAAGAATAAAATGAAAACAATTATTGTAAAAATTTATTATTCATGCAAAAAAATGTTTTTCTTAAGACAATAGTATCCTTAATATATCTTACTTATAAAAGTAATTAAAAGCTCCCCTAATTAAGCAATATCTTAGTTTTATTGCATTTTTGATTTAGAGCAGATTTTCAGTAAATGGTGTTTCTGTTTTATTAAAAAAAATAAAAAAATAAAAATGAGGAGTTAAATTCTTCAAGGATTTCTGCTTTTAACCAATATAAATATTAAGAGGGTGAAATTTAATTTCCTGAAATTTCATATAAAAAAAAAAAAAAAAAAATTGTACCAAGAATTGAGAAAAAAAAAATTTCATTCATTTGTGAATAAATTCTGAAAGTTTCATTAAAATCTGACAAATATTTGATTCTTGCAAGAAATTTCCAAATAAATGTGGTTTTTTACAACAAAAAAGACACTAAAATTGTCTATACTAATCATTGGCTCTCCTGTTACACACACGAGAGAGAGAGAGAGAATTTAACATGCTAGAAAGGATTAAAAAAATTTAATAATCAAAAATTACTTTTGTCTTTCCTCTTAATAATAAACATTTTCACGAGAAAATTTCATTTTTATCAAGTTTGGGGGCTTTTTTATCATATGTTCTTTTTTCAGCAAATTAGTAGAGTTACCTACATAAAACTTGACATGAATATTTCACTGTCGCAATCCTAAATTGCTAGGTTATAACAGGTGAATACAGGTGTAATGGGTTGGAACAGTCTGTACACACTGTAGGCCTCAATAAAATTCCATCATGCTGACATGAAAGGTGTGTTCAATTGTACTACTTCCCCCTGCCAAATTTGATAGATTGATTTGTTTTTTTCTATGATTTAACCATTTGAAGGTTATTTAAAGCAAAAAAATATTTTTAGATTACAAGAATTTTGTGGGAGGGGGAGGAAATACTGATTAACTTATAGCTTAAGGGAAAAGAAGTGGATTCATATTTTTCCCCGGGGTATTTGTATGCAAGTGAATATAACGAACATAGGGAGAATTGGAACTCAGCTCTCCATTTAACAATTCCAAGCCATTATGCATTACATGACCAACACAGCCAAGCTTACAGCACCTGGTATTCCCAAAAAGTCACGCATTAACTTTAGTGACCGTACCGGAACGGATGTTTCCAAAAATTTGAAGCCACCTACCTTGCCATATTAACGGAAGAGAAGGTGATAAAAAAAAAAAAAAAAAAAACAACACAGAACCCAAGTACAGGCCCTTCCAGACTATATAAATCCTTACAGCCATTGTGGAAGGTCCTCAATTTTGGATCAGCCTTACCAGTCACCAGAACACATACACCAAGTAAAGACAAAGTTGATTTGACCTTCAAACTTATCTTCAATAATTGATGGCTCTCCCCGTCATTTTCAATCTATGAGGTTCAAACAGTTCAGTTTATAACTGAAGTGCTAGACTACGGTCACAGATGATTTGATTATTGGGGGTGAAAACTTGTGCAGAACCAGTAACACTTTTTAGAAGAACTGATAATGGAAAAATAGTGCCATGAAGTCATTAAGCAGCCCCACTCCTTAATTTTGAAGTCAGCACTTTCCTTCTCTTAAACTTCCTGCCACTCAAGGCAAGAGAGTCCAGTCTGCCCCACTTTTTAATCCAAACCTGGAAGAAGTTAAGGTCATTGGCTTGAAAGAATTACAACCTTGAAGGTGGAAATAAAAAAAAAAAAAAAAAAAAAAAAAAAATTGAAAAAGCTGATATTTTACCCTTTGTGCAAAAATCAAATGCAAAATTTAATGTGTGTAAAAACAGCATACAATCAATTTAGAGAGGTGAAAGATGTGAATAGGGAGACTATTCTCCTTTTTCAAATGAGTAAAGCCTTCAGAAGGCCAATATTAAAATTTTTTTTATTTACTTAGGCTGAAATACTGGCTGCTTACAGCTATACAAATACCCATTATTGCTTGATCAATGAAGTTAAGCAACATCAAGTCTAGTCAGTACCTACATGAGTAACCCACTTGAGAATACCAGGTGCTGTAACCTTGCTGTTGTAATGGATAACAGCTCAAAAGCTGAAATTGGTGAACCAAGTTCAAATTCCAGACAAATTTGTTACATTCACTTATGCAAATACCTTTGGAATTGTAAAGATATATAGGCTAATGAGCCTAGTCTGTTCTACTATTTAGCCTATAGGTGGGGGGGAGAAGAGATGGATTCATACCTTTCTGAAGGATATTTGTGCATAAGTGAATGTAATAAGCTCAGCTGGAATTCAAACTCAGCTCTCCAATTTCCCATTCAAGCTGTAATCCATTACACCAACCACACATCCCAAACCTGACATACAGTAAGCCTATTTATTAGGCTTTTATTAACCATTTTTTCCCCAAAGGGTGAACTGTGGAAAAGTTATGTTTAATGTGGGGGGACCTTCACATGTGGGTAGTGCCAGAAATTGTCCAAACTCTGACCCAGCCACTCTTAGTACAATTATTCATACTTTTAGTGTACAGGACAAAAACAGATTTTGACATCAAATTTTCTGATTATGAAAGAGGAGAGAAAAGACGAGAGAAGAAAAAGAGAAGGAGGGAAAAAAAGAGAAAAGTGCACCTTATACACTAAAAAAATACAGTACTTTTATTTAAATCTAATTTTTTTACATACCTATGAGCAAAGAAAATGCCTCGTCTGAGGAAATGATGAACTGGCTTGCCTATGATTTTTTCCATTCGATCAAGCAAGTCTTGGTCTAATTTGTTGCAACCAAATTTGACTGTAAAAAAATAAATAAAACGACATTTAGAATAATTTCAAAAAAATAAAAATAAATCAAAAATAGAAAAGATTTGCCTTCCGAGAAAATCAACATTCAAGATGTCAGATTTCATGCAGATTTGAACTCCAACCTCTCCATAAAAGACAGACAATTTTTTTTGGGGGGGGGGAGAGAGAGATAGGAAATAAAAAACAAAAAAAAAAAAACCCCACCACATGCAACCACAATAGTATCTCCACTACAAGGTACAGTGTGCAATGTTGCCATTTTATATTTTTAATTTTGTGCATGCACGTTGTTTATTATCTTGACTGCACAGTATAGTAGGGTCAGTTGGGCACCATCTGTGAGGAAAAGAGTACCATGAAGCAGTTCAGGCTGCCAGAAATGGCATGCTGTATTCATGCCAGAAGCTCCAAAACATATTTCAGAGTATTTGGGTGTCAATCTGAGGACAGTGCAGAGAAAGAGTTGGATGAGTCTAATGGTGATTACGAAGGTATGGCAGCTTGGAAAACTGATCATTCTGATAAATAAAGAACTCCCGAATTTGTTGATGAGGGCCTCAGACTCAACACAGAGGCCTACATCAAGTGCCTTGATGAGGTAGTGCTGCCCAGGGTCAAGAGAGTGGCTGCTGGAAGACCCTATGCCTTGCAACAGGACTCTGCACCATGCCACAGTCGTGGCTGTGAGAAAATTTCTGCAATCATATCACCCCTTACATCTGGCCACATAACTCACTAGACTGCAACCCACTTGAGTATTATGTGTGGAGTACTGTTGAGCAGGAGACCAACAAAACCCTTTGTAACACTCTGAAGGCAAGCATTGTGGTAGCATTTACCAGCTTAAACAAGGAAGCCATCCAGAAGAGTTCCAGGAGATCCCAAAGTCATCTGGATGCTGTGGTTGAAGCCAATGGTGATTTTATTGAATAAATTTACTCTTTAGTATTTCAAGATATTTGCGTAATTTTGGTAAATATATCTGTTAAAATGAGATGCCAGTGTTATTTTCATTTTGTATAACTTAGTGCGATGGATAAATTGTCGTCTATGTAAATCTCCCCCTAGAAAATATCCCCTTCCAAGAGACCTATCTATTCAGTACAAGAAAATACCTCTTCAACAGACTGGTCAACCCTGTTACAATTGGCAACCCTACAAAGGAATAGATAAATCTTCAGAGGGTATTTAAAAACTTCCAATGCGAGTTGAACCTGCAATCATCAAAACAAAAAGTAACCTTATTAACATGAAACAAGTCAACTAAATCACAAAATGAAACCCAGAATGCTACTATAAGAGTAAAATACCGAATCGCAGTCTGATTTAGTAGCTTAATTGGCAAGTGGGTAACAGGTTTCAATGAAGCAAGTAGGTAATGTATTTCAAATAACTTATTACCTAAGTAGACCAACAGCAACAACTGACACATACTCCAATTACAAAAGGGAATTCAATTACTTTACAAAAAGTTTTTATTTTGTCATAAACTGTCGTTACCCAAGTCAGTACTAGTCATTTAGTAAGCTTTGCCCAGTCTGTCACTCAAGCCTAGGATTGATTACAATATCTGTTTGTCGGTTGTAACTAAGTATATTGACCAAGTTCATCACTACTTTAACTTCATTGAGCCAGCGTGACTTGAACGTACGCAATCAGCTGTATTTTCTATCACTAGTCAAATAATTCCATCAAATCTTGAATCTGGTTCTTTGAAATGGACATCTGTCAAGTAACCTGTTACCCAGGGGATTTCTCTCTTATTCTAATGTCAGAATATAAGCCTCCTATCAGACATAAAATTATTCAGTGGTGTACTGTACGTAACGCTGTATTTTATTTTTATTTTATTTTTCTCTTGGTAACTGGAGTTGAAGAGAAAAGGGGGGAACAATTCACAAATATTTTTTAGTAATACGAAACGAATACCTAGACATTATTACTTAGTCACTAAAGGAATTTTAATGCAAGAAACTTCAGCATCGCTTGAAGAAGCGATTTGATTTTTGCTGCTTGTATTCTGAGCGGTTGCGGCAAAATCGTCACGTGACCAAACAGCAGAGTTTTCCATATGTGGATGATGAAATAAAGAAGAAAAATGAAGTTTTCAACTAGATCCAAACATTTAAAAGACCTTGATTCATTTTATTTTACTTATTTATTGTGTTGGGGGGAGCAAATATTATAGGATCAAACAAAATTCTATTGAAAAGTTTCAAAACTAAAAAATAAGAATCCAATGTACGTCATATTGCCATTTTTTTTTTTTATCATTTCAAAATTAAGAGCTCTTTCATTTATTTTTTAATCAATCGAATGAGAAAAAAAAATAATCGGATTTACTGTGAATTAAAAAAATCTAACAGCATTTACTTTCTACTTTGAGATAAAAAAAAAGAATTTTCAATCGAATGTAGTAAAAACCGAACAACTTAAAAGTGCAGTGGAAAGGTGTAGCAAATGAATAAAATAAATAAGTTACAATTCTTCTTTTTTTTTTACCTTATTTATGAAAAAAAAAAAAAAACACAAAACAAAAACAAAAAAGTATTTTGGTTAGGTAAAAAAATAAAAATGCGACTACAAAATAACCGGTAAAACAATGAGATCAATAGTCTTCTTATCTTACTCTTCTTGTTCTTACGAGCAATTTTGTGTTTTTTATTTTTTGATTTGTTTTTTTAGATTATTTTATAAAATTCTATTTTATTTATTCACAACATTCTACCGGCCGATTATGTTAAATAATTCTTTAACGTGATCGTAATTAGTAGATACTAAGAGTAAGACATATGTTAAATTAAATACCAAACCACAGCTAAAAATTAAAAAGTCATTTTCAAAATATTCAACTTATTATCCTGAAAACGTGGACAATTTTTAAATAAAAAAAAAATCTTAGAGTGTGTTTTTTTAGCACTAGGAAGGAAAAAATAAATGAGAGAGAGACAAAAATAAAATTAAATGAAAGCCTTACCTATAAGTTTATCATAATCAACGCCTTTAACCGACGAACTAGCAACAGTCCATGGATCGACAAAATCCTCAGATTCTTCTTCCTCTTTAGCTTCAATGTTCATTTCGGTCAGTTTGGATTCAACGTCGTCTGCCATAGCCAAAAAACTTAAATGAAGTGAAGGCAAGCCGGACAAGGCACATGTGCCTGGATTCTATGACATGATGTAACAAACCTTGTGATTAGTCAATTTCTTTTTACGTCTTTTTGTAATCTTGTCTGTGATTGGTCCAAAGTCATACCGGTGTAAAAATGGTAGTACGCTCTCAGTACACGTCGCGCTGAAAGAAAGATTTATTTTGAGTGTAAACGAGAAATTCATTGTAGATCTTTCTGGATTCAAGTAAGAATAAAGTTTATGCTTTCATTTCCCTTTCAAGATACTTTAGGTTTTATTTTATGTGACTATAATGCAGATTAATGACAAGTTCTTTTTAAATACATTAACATTTAAAAAAAAATTATATTCATCAATCACTCTATCTTTTTTCTTTATGATTGCCTTTTTTTTAATTCCTCAAAAAACAAATTGTTTCAGCATTTTAAAGTTAAAAATCTTTTTTTTTTTTGGTTCTTCAGAAATGAAAAATATTTCTGTAAACATTTTTAGAAAATAAATAAAACCTTCATATTTGACTTTTTTTGATAAGAATTGGTCGTAAACATTTTTTTTATTTTTTACTCCGAAAAAATTAACTTCGGAATAACAGAACATGTTTTTAGTTTTAGCTTCTTAAAATTTTTCTCTTTTCATACTATTTTGATTTTTCAAATATTATTGTTAAAGGACTTGAAAAATAAAAAAAAAAACTTTTTTTTAGCTATTTTTTTTTTTTTTAATTCATATTTTAATTGAAATTCATAAAAACTTAAAAAGTATTTTTTGTTTCAGCTTTTTAAAACTGAAATAATTGCTAAGAGAGCTGTATAAAAAGAAGACCATCAGAATTTGTTGTTGAATGATGGATTTTCTTTTCATAACGTACGAGATTATAACAAAAAAAATAAGCTTTAAAAAGTGTTTTTATGATGTTAACCCTTAAAAAAAAAGTAATGATTGTGATATTTTAAATTGAATAATCGGATTTTAATTATCTAATAAGAATTTAATTTTACGCATCTGGTCAAAAAATAGTTTTTTACTTTTTATTCTAAGTACAACATCCAGCCGTTTGGACAAACATTGAACACACAACTATTTTTCACTGATCACCTCTTGTGGATTATTATAGAACGAACTTGTAAAGGTTAACTAGAAAAATTGTTTGACAGAGTTAACTAATATTTGTTAAATTTTAACAAAATATGGCACAAGGCCAAAATTTGATTTGAGTGGATATGCTGAACCTCACTAACCTGACATTTATTCGCATTTACTGACTCAAGTTATTCTTTTAACTTCGCATTTCTTCAAGGAACTTTCATAACAACACTGTCACTCAAATTTCACATTCTCTCGTCAAACATAATAGCACCCAAAGTTGCATTTCAAGTAGGAAGGGGAATAAAAAAACAAATGATTTATAATATTCGCGTTGCAGTTAAGAAAATTCTTCAATAATTTGAAAAGAATATGAAAAAAAAAAAAAAATTTACATTCGACTGTCGTTTAACTGGGCACGCTTCAGACACAAACCCGAACGTATGGAGCATCCAGTGAAGATTGAACTCAGTGCTCAGTCATAATTAATGTAGCAAGACAAGCTTGCTAACCCACACAACACAGTCATTGCACCGGGATTTATCGTCCTATTAGTAACCTAGTGATAGCCAAGTATTTTTACCAATTTTACCAAAGGTCCAAAACAATCCTTTAAATAATCAACAGACGATTAATTTTCTTTTTATAAGTAACAAGTGAATTAAATTTCTTTAGATAAATTAATATTATACTTGAATAAAACATTAACCCAAACAAATGAATTAAATTTCAACAATGACAAAATTAATATCATGCTCAAATAAAAATCCCTTATCTTGTTAGGAAATTTAGTTCAATTTTTTTTGTCAAAAAATAAAATAAAAAGTAAGTAAGCATGCGATAATTCACTACTGCTTTTCCTATAACTGATCAACCGCCAAATTATTTGTAGCAAATATTTTTATACCATAAAAGGTATTCATATGTGACCCTTCCTATAATCTAATATAGCAGAAAAAGCAAGTTAACCTGGCAACAAAAAAATGATAAAAATAAATAAAATGAAACATTCTCACAACACCAAAAAAAACTTTAGTTTCTGTATGGCTAGGGTGGGAGTGAGTGAAAAACTGAAACTGTACTAAAAGAAATTGACAAGTGACAAACATACGGTAGCTAAGCGACATTAACTATAACTAAAAACAAGCCTATACTAATTTAAATAGCTTGGACAGATATGTTTCTCAGAGAAGTAAAATACCACGCCAGTCATATCGAGATGTCACTCTACATTCATCCAACGTTTGACAAAGTTTGACAAAGAGAGCTGATACTTAGAGCTGGCTCAAGGTACTGGCAACTCAGGCAGTCACCTCAGTCACCATTAAAACCAAGGATACCATCATGTCATGTGTTTAGGATCTTCCAAAACTAAAGCTTATAAAAACATACTTGCGATCATCCATGACTCAAGACAGATTAAATTCTTTGGCTATTTTGTCAAGAGAAGATGATTTTGTAAAGAAGATAGGTATAGAAAGTGCCAACAAAAAATATCAGACCTAAAAGCCAGAAAAAATGTTTTATATAGGATAATGAATGTTTTTAGCTTGTATTAAGTTGTATATTGTAATAAACTCGTTATTCTACATTTTCTGTTTTTCTCCTTGTGAAAATTAAAAAAAATTATACTTGTAAAGGTGCTGAAATTCAGCTTACCTGAGGTGCCAGCAACCCTAAGGTTGTCACTGTTGATACTTGAAGAATGGAATCAGATATTGGGGAGAAAGAGACAAATCTCTGTGGATTTCCATTGTTCACATCATCCAGATCACCATCCACATCATGGCTAGTATCACAGAATCATTATTTTTTTCTTGAACTTTTTTGCGAGTTAAAGCACACCTTGAATTACCAGCCAGGTGAGAGATGCCTAATTATTAGTGAGGTATTTCAACTCACTTGCCCAAGACTACAAGGAACAATACTCCCTCTTCATCAGACTGAGTACATTGACTGAATCATCTCACATGCCCACTCCTAACACATGATATAATGACTTTCTTAAATATTACCGGGTGTCAGAGAGGAAAAAAACTCAAAGCAACTTGACATCTTACTTATTATAAAACGCAGATTGTGTGTGTGTCTGTACATTTATATATTGGATCGGTTTCCTACATTTTTCAACCCATTTCAACAAAACTTCACAGGACTACATAAAATTACCTTTGGCGGTTGGTTCTAACAGCGCCAAAAATTGGAAAAACACAATTGTTTTTGCACGTAATCAATTTGAAAACACGATTAAGAGGCATCATGAGAATGAAAGGGGGACAACTCATATCGAGTTATACTTATTATAAAACCCAGGTTGTTTGTGTGTGTGTGTGTGTGTGTGTGTGGATTCAAAGTAAAAGGAGAAAAGTGTGATTTTTTTCTAAATGAAATTAAATATTTAGGTCAGATAATAAATGAAAATGGCATGAAACCGGACACAGAAAGGGCATCAGCAATTAAAAATATGCCGGAACCAAAAAATGTTGCAGAACTGCAAAGTTTCCTGGGCCTAGCTAACTACTATGGCGAATTTATTGATAATATGCATAAACTGAGGACTCCACTAAATGAGTTATTAAAAAAGGAGCATAATTGGAATTGGACAGAGGACTGTAAAAAAGCATTTAAGGAAATAATACAAAAATTAACTTCAGAGTTAACATTGACACATTTCGATCCCGAACTCGAAATCATTATTGCAAGTGATGTGAGCTCACATGGGGTAGGTGCGTGTATTTTACACAAGATGCGGAACGGTACAAACAAACCTGTCGCACTCACATCTAGATCATTATTACCAGCGGAGAGAAACTATTCACAGATCGAAAAGGAGGCATTAGGCATAATTTTTGCAGTAACTCGTTTTCACAGATATATTTATGTGAGAGAGTTCATACTCCAAACAGACCACAAACCACTTCTTACGATTTTCGGTTCAAAAAAGGTCTACCAGTCTATACAGCAAACAGACTTTTAAGATGAGGAACTGTGTTACTAAACTATAATTTTAAACTGGAATTCTTACCACCAAAGAAAATAGGATATGTTGATGGACTATCGCGATTAATACCTGCGAAAAGCGAACCGTTAGAAGATTCGGTAAATGCAGCATTACAAGCTGAAGATGAAATCAGTAAGGTACTATGCAATACAATAAAGGAACTACCTGTAACGCTGCTAGAGATAAAACGAGAAGCAGAAAGAGACGAGTTTATTCAGGATACCAAGAAAAAAATAGAAGAGAAAGTGAGGAATTTACCAGACAGTTTCTCAATCTGTGACAACATATTGTATAACGAGAGAGTAGTAATACCGAAGTCACTACGAAGAAGGATCTTAAAAGATTTTCACTTCAGACATCCCGGAAAAAAACAGATGAAATCACTTATGAGAAGTTTTGTCTACTGGCCGAACATGGACGATGATATCACGCAAATGGTGGAAAGTTGCAACGGTTGTGCTGCTGTGGTGAAGGCACCACCCTCTATACAAAGGCCATTGCCTAAAGTCGACAGACCGTGGTCCAGAATACACGTGGATTATGCAGGACCCATTGAAGGTTACTATTATTTAATAACAGTAGATAGTTTTAGTAAATGGCCAGAGGTTGCCAGATTTAAACACCCAACGACAGAAAACACAATAAATTGTTTACATGAACTATTCACGAGATTTGGTGTTGCGGATTGTTTGGTAAGCGATAACAGCACACAGTTTACCTCCAATGACTTTAAAGAATTTTGTGGGACATATCAAATAAAACATATCAAAATAGCTCCGTACCACCCAAGGTCGAAAGGACAAGCTGAAAGATTCATTGACACACTAAAAAGAGTGTTAAAAAAAGCCAAGGATGTACCGATGATAAAAGCGATACAACAATTCCTCCAAGTGTA